TACTATTCGCCTAACCCCACGAGGCCATTATCTACTAAGCCATTCACCAAAGCCTACTGGGACCATTATCTACTCCACGCCTCACCTAATACCAGTGACAGCACCATATCATACACTCACCCAACTCCACTAGAAGACTCCCCCAGCTTCGTGAACGAATCAGAGTGTTCTTCACATGCAGGGCATGCAGCTGAGCAGTAAAGAGCACCATGGTGCCCTGTTTCTATTTCGACCTGAACACGGTTAGATAAAGTCATTCAAATAATGAAAGATTGATCATCACCTCGTAAACACTGCTTAAGACGTTGAGACGATGGCAGGGTGACAAAATATCCAAATAAACGAAGTGGAAACGTGCGTGCCAGGGTCGGCGTCACCACTTCAAGGAACGCCCGTTGTTATAAACGGTGGCATAATTTATGAGTCTATTGGCGTGATTTATTACTTTTTTTCAGGGGTGCAAGGCTAATTTAAACATGCCGAAGGTTTATAAAATAGACGAACAGTTAGGAAACCCAGATTTATGCAAAGGCACAGTTGCGACAAACTGAGATGCCATTAGATTCCTGTGGCCAGCAGTCCTAAAAGAACACATGTGGTCCTGAATATTTTGGGTTCACGAGAGGGGAGCCGTTGAATCAAACTTTTTTTTTTAAAAATGCATTATTGTAATCATTTATTTCTCATGTGTATGGAATATTTCAGTTGTTTTTTTTAATGGAGAACATGGAACATTTTATGAACAGAATAGTAATATAAATTGGCACACAACATCAAAATTAATTTTACCACAGAATAGCTGGCGACATCACTAGTCTATATTCCTATGTTAAGTAGTTGTGTTTTTTTTTTAATATAGCATGAAACGGGGGTAGATGATGTGCAAGGATAGATATTTTATAACATAACATCAAATGTTGTAGATGTAGTGCACGGATAGATATTACCAGAAATAACAATTTAAACTTAGTAAAGACAATATATTTTTTTTTCCTTATAAAGGTTAAATGAACACCAAATGCCAAAATACAGTTTCAGAGAAATTATTCTTCGGTTTCATAAGATGTATGGTTATTATTATAAAATTCCAAGTACTAAGTACCTTTTCACTTCTGGATCAGAGAACTACTTTACCGAAGGATCATCACTGGATATAAACAAAAGGTCTTTGCAGAAAGACGGCGCCGATCTGCAAACTTTTTTTTTTACACAACACATGACCTTTTTATACCACAGAAATTGCTATAAGGGGTCTGCTGCTTACTTTCAAAGCACCCGACGAGAAAATGCTGGAAACGCCAAGTACATTTCGGTGACAATCAAGTGTTGTAATGAACGACCGGTGAAATTAGATTACTACTTAATGGATTTCATTATTTCATAATTATTTTTAATTTGCTATCCGCTAGGACAGAGCAATTTGCTAAGAATGACGTTCTGTTTGATGCTATTTAGTGCGCTGAAAATGAAATGGATCAAATATCCACACACAAAGAATGGAGAGTAATATTATTTTTGTTTACAGGTATTTTAAATGTAAATCATCAGTCCAAACAAAATGTTAAAAATCTCTTGAATCCCTGTCGAGGTCTGACTTCATAATAGTTTATGAACCCACCAAGACCTGTGGCGTTGCAAACCATGTAAGGTTTTGGTCTGCCTCACCACTTCCTGACACTAATACCATCCGTCCATTCCTGTTGCGCTACAGCCCATGTAGGGTTTTATGCCCGCTTAACCACTTCCTTCCACTCAGAACTAAATAATGCATTTCTTTTTCATGCATGGACTCTCAGCTGCTGTAAATCATTTTCCACATCCTCCGTCCACATACTCTTAGTCCTGCCTTTAAGTTGTTTTCCACTGAGGATTTTGTGATACCCTCTTCATTCCTCTGTCGTTTGGCATTCTTTGGTTGGTCCATATATTTTCCGAAGAACTTTTCTCTCCCATGTGTTAAGTTTTCTGCCAATATCGTTTAAGTGGACGTTTGTCACTTGCTTATGTTGCAACCAGTCTGATTGCAGTTTATGTTTGCGCCAATAAAAGTAACGAAGTTGACCTTGGAAAAGACCAATTCCATTTCACCCGATAGACATCCGATTTCAATATCAAAATCAGTCTCGTTCGTTTTAAATAAACTTGACTGAATTAAATGAAAATAAATTTTGACTATTAAAATTAAAGAAAAAGCGAAGTCTACCGTAAAGAAAAAAAAAATGTGTTTCTATTTAATTTTTTTTGTTTTAAAATCTACGATTTTCGATCAACCAATGAATCAACGTCATTACTCTTGGCTTTAATATTGGCAATTGTTGCCGTGTACTTTTCTTAAAGCTTAACCTGACTCGGGCAATCGACCCCATGATCCTGAATAAAGAAATTGTCAAGGACACTATCGCAGATCTTATTATTCATGCTGGCCAGTTACAAGCGCGTGTATCAAACTTAGGAAATTTAGACAGGGATCTTAGGAAGCCATGATTCTACTTATTACTACACATTCGTAAGGAAGGACGTTTTGGAGGATCTTAGGAAACTATGATTCTACTTATTACTACACATTCGTAAGGAAGGACGTTTTGGAGGATCTTAGGAAACCATGATTCTACTTATTACTACACATTCGTAAGGAAGGACGTTTTGGAGGATCTTAGGAAACCATGATTCTACTTATTACTACACATTCGTAAGGAAGGACGTTTTGGAGGATCTTAGGAAACCATGATTCTACTTATTACTACACATTCGTAAGGAAGGACGTTTTGGAGGATCTTAGGAAACCATGATTCTACTTATTACTACACATTCGTAAGGAAGGACGTTTTGGAGGAGATATTGTCAATTTTAAAAAAAAATAAGCAAAAACCATTTGATTAATTATTTCACCCCCCCCCCCATTATCTTCAAATTGCCGGCACATAACCCTTGTGGGACATGTGCCTCACGTCGAGAAATACAGAGCTAAGTCTCGCCGAATTAAACTATGCACTTGAAGAATCTAGTAAAACATATTCTATCTCGGAACGTGACTCGAATTAAAACAAATTATATTTGGTTTAAAAGTAATTAGCATAAAAACAGATAGACTAGGAAATTGAAGACTTCAAAATAATATATATCATCAGCTAATGTTCAAAACAAACACTTTGTTGAATAATTTAATATATTTTTAAGGGCAATTTTCGAATCAAATCCCATTGATTTCTAATTTTCGTACTTGGGAGTGTCTTCAGTTTTCTTGTAAATAAGATAATTTAAGAAAGATAAAAATTTTACTTGTAACCTCTCACAACAACTAGGTGTATTTATTATTATTATTTTGTGTGTGTGTAGCCCCTTCGACACTGCATCAGGACGTGAAATGCATACTCGCCTGTTGACATAGATAAATTACGTGAAATGCATACTCGCCCCGTTGACATAGATAAATAACGTGAAATGCATACTCGCCCCGTTGACATAGATAAATAACGTGAAATGCATACTCGCCTGTTGACATAGATAAATTACGTGAACTGCATACTCGCCACGTTGACATAGATAAATAATGTGAAATGCATACTCGCCCAGTTTACATAGATAAATGACGTAAAATGCATACTCGCCCCGTTGACATAGATAAATGACGTGACATGCATACTCGCCCCGCTGACATAGATAAATGACATGACATATGCACTCGCCTCATCACATCGGAAAATTACGTGACATTCATACAATCTCCGGCGATATCAGAGAATGACCAGCCACGCACTCTTACTGTCTAAACTTCAAAAATCAGCAAGCACAGACTTTGACTTTAAATCAACAGTGACTCAAGCTATTCTGACAGAGAGAGTCAAGTGGTGCAGGCTTGTCAACTACACACTGTTGCTCACTAAAGCGATGAAATCATCATTGACTGCAAGCCCCCGCAGCCCTTGTGCCTGCAGCCCCAGCCCACGCGATCAAGACTATGTGACCAAATCTCAGAGGAAAAAAAACAACAGGCGGTACTGTTCCAAGCTGTGTAAACACGTTATATCGGTTTCACAAGCTGCTTTAGGGGATGTTTGAGCATTGACAGAATGTTTCAATGGCAGATGTTTGAGCATTGACAGAATGTTTCAATGGCAGATGTTTGAACATTGAAAGAATGTTTCAATGGCAGATGTTTGAACATTGACAGAATGTTTCAATGGCAGATGTCTGAACATTGACAGAATGTTTCAATGGCAGATGTTTGGGCATTGACAGAATGTTTCAATGGCAGATGTTTGAGCATTGACAGAATGTTTCAATGGCAGATGTTTGAGCATTGATAGAACGTTTCAATGGCAGATGTTTGAGTAGTGACAGAACGTTTCAATGGCAGATGTTTGAGTAGTGACAGAATGTTTTAATGGTAGATATCTGAGCATTGAAATAAAGCTTCAATGAAAAATTTCTGAGCATAGGCAGAATGATTCAATGGCAGATGTCTGAGTATAGGCAGAATGATTCAATTTCAGATATTTAATCATTAGCAGAATGATTCAATGTCAGATATCTAATCTTTAGCAGAACAATTCAATGGCAGATAGCTGAGCAATGGCAGAATCATTTAAAGGCAGATATCTAATTATTGGCAGAGTGATTCAATGTGAGATATCTAATCATTGGCAGAATGATTCATTGGCAGATATTTAATCATTGGCAGAATCATTCAAAGGCAGATATCTAATTATTGGCAGAGTGATTCAATGTGAGATATCTAATCATTGGCAGAATGATTCATTGGCAGATATTTAATCATTGGCAGAATAATTCAATGACAGATTTATGAGTATTCGCAGAACATTTCAATTGCAGATCTAGAAGAAAGTGCTAGGAAAGGAGTATATCAAAAAAAAAAGTTTTGGGCCACACAAAAAATGACGAGAGTTTTAAAAAGACTTTTCTCTGACAATCATGTGTAGGCCAATATAAATAGATTCAACGAAAACATTTTCAATACTTTTCAGAAATTAATCTTTGCCCCATACCTTTATTTTTCAGATAAAATGAAACATTTTATATATGAAAACTTTTAATTGATTGAAACAAGTTTTGTTTTTCAAAAGTAAAATGTGTAAAAAAAAAATAAAAAAATTCAGGTAACGCCCGATATTGTAAACTTTCAGTGTAGTCGAGATCCACGAGTCTAAGTGTCCTTCATGAACATCAGGAAGACCTGCTCGAGGGTCGTTTGTTGCACGCTGTAGAATTGAAACTTGAATTTCTCTTTCGCCGTCTCTAGTGTGTCGAAGAGTTTGGACAGCGGCACTGTGTCCGGGACTTGTAGGTGGACGTAGGCCTCCTGAGTGGCAAAGACCTGCGGGTGTCATGAATAGAACATTGTTGTGCCAAAAATGCTTTACGGTGCGTGCAACATAAAGTTTATTTAAGACCAGGACGAAGAAGTGGCATTTTAGAGTCAGATTTCAACTAACCTATTTTTAAAAACTTTTTCGAATCGCCGTTAAAATACTTTTTACTCTAGTCGAGCATCTTCGAGAACTCTCTGGCAACGTTTGTCGATTGTACTCAACATCACTGTGTGTCAACGAATGCACAACACACCGACTATTGAAACACAAACACTTTATGAATGCTTAGAGTTCTTCTTTACATTGTACATCGGTCCTGCAGATTCACCTGAATACAGTATCTCTTTATCACTACACAGTCTAACCAAACAGCACAGTAGTTTTCACTCACTCATGGGCGTCTCATGACCACCTCATAAAAATCAACTCATCCATTCTCCTCGTGACACTTCTTATATCCACACACTGGTTTGTTATTCTTTTCCTGTCATCCAATGATCATTAAGACTGAAAGTGGCCCTAAAGGCCTTTAGAATTAACCCTATTCAATGGGTGCAGACAGCCCGGGACAGAGCCAGGTGGAGAGCAGCTGTCATGAAAGGGGCTAAATCCCATGAAGCTAATAGGATAACCACAGCTGAGACACGCAGGATTGCCCGAAAGAGCAACATCCGGTCACCGGCTGCAGCAACTATCCCAAGCCCGCGGTGCCAGGGATTTTTCCGAGCACGGGTCGGTCTAGCAAGCCACCTACCAGCTCACCGTAACCCACCCTCCCCTTAACCGGATGACTCGATTTTTGTTTTTTTTTTGTATGTGTTGCCTACGCATACTTGTTTATACGGAAGGATCAATGTCACTCTTAATCCAGAGGACCTTTGTCAGTTAAATTCAAATGTATCCCAGAGGAAAACAATAAGAAATTAATTTAGTTAACTTTTCAGGACACACTCCATGAATATAAATTTAAAAAACATAGATAATTTAATCTGTATATTTTAATGGTATGCAGAATGAGTTGATCAAAATAAAGAACACCCTGCTGTGACGGCCACGTGATGGGGATACACAAAGTTACTAAAGAAATGACGTCATTGCAAGGCGTCGGTCGGTTTTATACAAAGGTAACTTAGCATTTACAGGGATACTGGCGGCACTTTTACCTGGGTTTTAGGAAATGACTGGAGAACGAAGACCTGGGCTTCATGTAGAGGCAAAACCGTGCCCTGCTCATCAACACTAGCACGCATGACGACCGTGTAGCCTTGCCCGTACTTGTTCTTCAGGTGCTGGGGACTGCCCAGGCACAGTATTCTCCCCTTGGCCATGATGGCTATTCTAGTGCATAAAGCCTCACATTCTTCCATGCTACACAAAATATAAACAGAGACGTAAGGATAGAAAGTAAGGATAGAAAGTAAGTATTTCCTGTGCCAAATTGCTTATGGCAGTGGGTGTATTTAAATGTTTATATTTATAGATCTCTCTATCTCTCTACCTACCTACCTACCTTCCTACCTACCGACCTACCTACCTACCTACCCACCTACCCACCCACCTACCTACCTATCTACCTACTTACCTACCTACCTATCTATCTATTAATATGTATAATAAATATATATTATATAAATAGATATAAATATACAGATAGATATATTTAAACGTATGACGTTCAGAAAATCTTGTCTACATAAACATGTCCATTGAGAAGGTGCTTCCGTCAAGTGTGTAAGAGCCGATCATGGGTAACGAATGGCGGAAGCCGTTCAAGACGCGTGAAGGAAATAGCGAGATAAGTTATGTTTAGGCATAAGGTGAAAAGACGTGAACGACAATATCTACTATTGAACACAACCTTCAGGCGTACAAGTGTGAAGAGCTGCAAACAAAAGGAACACTTTCAAATCAGCTCTGACTCACTCACTAACGAACATCCCTCTCTGTGACAAGATAGAGTGGTACGGACCAACCTGTGAGAGGTCAGGACCAGGGTCCGACCTGACGACCTTATCAAGTGCAGAACAGTCCATAGCCTTCTCCTAGCCACTGGGTCCATTCCAGCCGTCGGCTCATCCAGCATAATGAACATCGGGTCGCCGATAATCGAAATACCAACAGACAGTTTCCGTTTGTTTCCTCCACTGTAGATTGTGAAACGAATGAGGAAATATAAAGCAGCGCATCACAAACTCGAAAATTCTGTACGAAAGTCTTATAAATAACTTTAAGATTCCCTAAATATGGGATACGTCTTGAACAAATTCGAAAGAAAAGCACATGAACCAATGAGAGGAAAATTCTTGTAGACAACCCATGGCCCCAGGCGGGGTAAACACATAAGCACAAAAACTGGTTTTGTTTCGTCATATATACAAATCAAACTTAGTAAAAATCACTCGAAGACTAACGCTACACAACATCTGTTGTAAACACACACACACACACACAAATACTAGCGAAACGTTACATTTCTCCGGACGCGAGATATTTGCAGATGCCTCAAGCATTAACAGCAACACATCAATACGTCTTGTCAGCCACGTTTTTTCCCTCAAAGAAAACACTTTTTTCTACTTTCAGCAGAAACAACTTTAAGGTTAATATGTATCGATCCCAAATAAGTTCTGGTCTCGTTTGTCAGTATTGAAAGAAACACAAAAGACGTACGACGTCTAAATTTTTATATCGATGCAACTTCCGAGCATTGATTTATGTTTTGTTACCTCAAAGGTGCGTGGGGGGGGGGGGGGGGGGAAGGACGATGGTTTACCTGTAGGTGCGAGTCAGCTTATTTTCATGTGGTCTGAGCGTGACGAAGTCAATGATGGCATCGGTGACCTCATTCAAGCTGGACTCTGGCACCCCCCTAAGCCGGGCGTATAAATATAAAGTTTCAGTTCCTGTAAGAACGTCGTGTAGGGCATCGAATTGAGGGCAGTAGCCCATCATAGTGTGAATCTGGAGGATGCAAAGTCATACGTAGTTTATGAACAATAATATGTGGAAATATTAGTGTTTTATTGACAATATTATGTGCAAATATTAGTGTTTTATGAACAATAATATGTGAAAAATAAGTTCATTTTTTTGTTATTTAACAACATAAAATTGGAACGTAGGACGAGTTGAATACTTTAAGTGACTCCGTTCTTAAACCGAAACTTGCGCCTAAGGAAAAAAGTTTCGCATAGAAATCAACGTAATTTTTAACTTTGGTTTTCAAGCGCTATAATGGGGACTAAAATAACACACACACAGATGAAAAAAATATGTGAATGTAGATTTTGTCACAGGACTCGAATGAATTTTGTTTAATGGGAAAGCGCCAAAGTGAGTATGATAGGTCAAAGATCTCACTACTGAGTCCATGAGATTGGCCAAAGCTTTCTCTTCTAGTCTGTCTCAGGGACAGGCCAAAGATCTCACTTCTGAGTCAGTGTGGTTGGCCAAGGCTATCTCTTCTGAGTCGGTTGGACTATTTGCGGGCGCATGCTTATGTTCGTAACTCGATATATCGTTCGCCAACGGTCAAAATTTATTGGCAAGACTTTTTCTTACCCAATGTGTTTCACTTTATACAAAATTCCCCTAATATGTGAAGCTTAAATAAGAATTATTATTGATATGATTAATGAATAAATATATAAATAAATATGTGTGCTTTACTAACGCTTATATGTGAAATATTAACTTGTTTACTGACAATTATGTGTGAAATAAGATGTTTCTATATGTTTTATTAATAAAATATGTGAAGCTTGGTAATGAGAAAAGAAATAAATATAAAGATGAAGCATTTTATAGGTTTGAAAAGATATTCGGAAACGTTCGATTATATCAGAAAAATGTAACGGGTTTTCTAAGGATATACCACAAAAATCCTCTCTTTGTTTGCATTGATATTTCTTTAAGTTTTAGGGGATGTTCTAAATCAATTGGATATTAAACTTGTTTTGCCTGTCATTTCCGCAGAAGCTCATTTTGTGCCATTCGTTGCCGTCAAAGAAGCATAGAGATCTGAGACAGAAATCTTTGGATTTACGTGTGAAGTTTTAGCTTAATCTTCAGAAGTTTTGTTTTTTTAGATCTTATTTAAAGCTTAGCCGAGACCTACGACTTTGATCTTCGTCTTGATGCTCAGCCCTTTCACGTAGGCGTCTCCCGAGGACACCATGTGGTCTCCAGTCAACATCTTAAAGGTCGTGGTTTTCCCAGCTCCGTTCTGTCCCAAGAGCCCCAGGCATTCGTTTTGGGGCAGGGCCAGGCTGGAGTTGTGCACGGCGATGAAAGGCTTACATCTGACCCGGAATTTCCTGCGCAGGTTTTTCAGCACGATCGCATCTGGTTGGAGAAATTAAGGCAATATGGGTGGACTTGTTTAAAAAACTATGAGCTGTGTTAGTGTATTTCGTAAAATCGTCCTAAAATTCCTGCGCAGTCGAGTGATTTGTATTATGGATACTTTCAAGTTTTTCAGCAGACAGTATTCAACAGACTTCAGATATTTGCAAAAGCCAATAAACGTTTAGTAGCAGACAGTGTCACACTCTATCCAAAAAGAACCACAAAGCGACACGACAACTTACTGGTCAAGACACGAAAACTTAATGGTCAAGACACGACAACTTACTGGTCAAGACACGACAACTTACTGGTCAAGACACGACAACTTACTGGTAGGGGCACGACAACTTATTGGTCATGACACGACAACTTACTGGTCACGACACGACTACTTATTGGTCATGACATGACAACTTACTGGTCAAGACACGACAACAATTGTCGCGACAACTTACTTGTCAAGACACGACAACTTACTGGTCATGACACGACAACTTACTGGTCACGACACGACAACTTACTGTTCTTGCACAGTTCATCAATGGGCGTTTCCTTAATTCTCAAGCCTTCAGCTTGTACGTCATCATCCTCGACCAATTGTCCCTTTTCAGAATGGTCGACTTTGTTTGCAGTGGGTGCGTCCTTATCTTTACAAATTGTATACCTGTGACATAGTTGGCCCAGTCAACAACAACAAAAAAAACATGAAAGCTTGTCACAGTTAAATTCTCGGCACTGTTACAATCAGTACTGATACTTTGCTCTGTGTTGCACCTAATGCCATCGCCAATAAACCACACAGCCGAGAAATCGTTTTCACAACAACGCACACGAGACGCGGCACGTAATATCTGGGTATTATGATTTCATCTACTCACGAGTTAGACAAGAAAACGTATGCAACATTTGGAGATATATTTCTTTCTGGTCTACTAGATTTTCATTTGATAGATTTGTTGGCAAAATGAAAAATGCGCCCTCGTCTTACGCATTAAAATATGAAATAAAAACTGTTTCTCGTAATTTTCTCAATGTACAATTTGGATTTTCTCTAATTTGTTTAAGCAGGACTTTTTATTTTCAAGTATTGGTTTCCCCCCAAAAAAAGCGTGATAATGCATAGTTTGTTGGGGTTGTTTTTTTTTTTTTTTTTTGGTGGTGATATCATCAAGCAAACTCTGATCAGTGCATTAAATTTTTTTAACCCAATAATGACAATTTTTAAACCTTTATAGTTTCAAAAAGCGTGATAATGCATAGTTTGTTGGGGTTGTTTTTTTTTTTTTTTCTGGTGGTGATATCATCAAGCAAACTCTGATCAGTGCATTAAATTGTTTTAACCCAAGAATGACAATTTCTAAACCTTGATAGTTTCATCCGATCAAACCAAAAAAAAACCCATTCATTTTACAAAGATTCTTTTTACGTGTACGTTAAGCAGCATACATAAAAAGTCCACTGCCAGCTGACAAGGTGGTTAGTTATTTTATTTATTTATTTATGTTTACACGCGTCACAGATGACTGTCTGAATTGGCAAACATCATTCGAAGTAGCTCTCCTAAAAGAATGTGGTCAAGTATGCTCGCATATATTAAAACTATCAAACTCTGGATGCATTCATGTTGGTAGTTTTGTCGCATCTGGTTTTTTTTTGTTTTTTTTTTTTAAACTTGACGTGTAAATGAGCATAGAAGTGTCTAGATATTTTTGTTTAGTCCAGACGATGGTGCAGAAATAGACCGGGTCAGCCGATAAATTGATTCAAGATTTGTATTTTGAATTAATTTATCAACTTCTTTTATGCGTTAACATAAAATCTCGGGGGTCGTCAAGTTCTGAAAAAAAGAAAAACCGAAATCCTGTATGTATCACTGCTTCCCTTTTGCTTCTTGTAAGTCAAGGGTAAACAGTGTACTGTTGTGGCTTGATTGGGGTCCAATGCTTACTAATTAACAATTTGATGAACTGCTATGAAAGTACGAGACAATACAGATCATCTCATAACCATTAACTTTCATTCAAATTTTAAGATTCACAATATAAAATAGGTCCCCGAATTGGAATAGGATAATTGTAATGATAGCATATACGTCACACACTTTATAATCCAAACAGATGCACGATTGTTGTTACGATTCAGAAAAGATTTAACTTTAAACAATTCTACATACTATGCTAGAGCACCTCTTAACCAATCGAATCTCATTCTCAACTTCCTTCCTCTCTTTCTCTCTCTCTCACACACACACACTCTCACTCTCTCTCTCTCTCTCTCTCTTTGTGCACATGACATCATATCACCATCTTACTACTTAAAATAACGAAACAATCTATTCTTATCAATATAGAGCTCTAACACTTTACCATACGAGTCGGTCCAATCTGAACTCGATGACTGCGATCAGGAGCCATCCTCCGAAGAAATGAACTGTAAACATCAGCAGCTTTGGACCAAGCTGTTCAACTGCCGAGTCCTTTGTTAGGTACTCGATCACGGAAGCTGTGAAGAAATCACGATAAACACCAAACGAGTGAAGTCAGCTTATGTCATAATATACAAATAACTATAGCATTAATTTATTCTTACGAAATGTAGATGGGTGGAATCAGCAAGAGTAATTCAAATAAAATCGTAAAATTATAATTGAATATTCCCTATAGAAAAACACCAAATTTCAATCAATTCATTCATTATTTAAATTTTACGTTTAATGTCAGACATGGGAGCCCATTAAGCTACAGTGTGAGTGAAGTGTAAACCACGTATACCGGTCATGTGCGGCGCCTCCGAGGTGCACGTTAAAAGTGTCCAACACGGATGTTTTAGAACGCGCCAACACGTGCAGCACATTCTCCAATCACATCAAGAGGCACTTTTGCTGGTTAGGCGGTGTAAGGAGATTGGAGGAAGGCCGTACTCCAAAGGTTATGTTGTGTGAACAGTGGGCAGAAAAGGACGGGGGGGGGGGGTGGTAAGACTTTTTGGTCGGCGGCAAGGGGGCTAATAGGACATTTGCAAAAGGAAAACGCGGGGAGCAAGCATAGAAATTACCGAATAGGACATCATCGATGACCACTGTTCCAGCGTCCGAGCAGCAGTGTATGACGCAGTCAAAAAGGCAGAAAATAGACAGGCGGGGAAAACCCCCGGCACTAATTTTGTTCATTTTAGATGTTTAGATTTTTTGTTTCTTCGGCAGCCTGTAAGATTCATTTCGTCTTAAGGGTACTGGCCATCAAGCTAAAAATGGATGCCATTTCATTTGGTCTTCCATGGCTGCATTCTTAAGTCATTTATAACCACCGATACCTTGCAAACGTTTGTTGTTTTTTTTTAAATGGACACATTAGGCGGCTTGGGAAGTAGTTACGGAGTTGGTGGTCCAACTTTGGCGGACCACCTCGGGCTCCACCACTTTCTTAATATTGAATCCTGGCATTTTCGATCAGCTTCAGAGAGTTGTGCTTTTTTGTTTGTTTGATTGTTGTTTGTTGTTGTTTTTTTTTTTGTGTGTGTGGAAGGGGTTGGCAAAAAGCTAAGCCCTTCTCATGGAGCACGATACAAAGCTACGCTACAGGACACGGGTAAATGCATATGTTACCATCTTTATCAAAGAGTGCAATGGCTGTCAGGGCGAATGTCACCAGCGCTGATGTTAACACGTAATTCGGCGAAATGAAAGCGAGGATCAGATGTAAGTATGTGGCAAAACCTTCTCTAACCGTCATTCTCAGGCTTGCAACCAGGACACCGGCACTAACACCTGGAGATGAGACATACACTAATGTGGTCTATACCCTATTTTTTGTCGACATGCACATATATACAAGCCAAATACCTACCAATCACTCACTCACTGACTTACCCCCTCACTCGCTCTCCCACTCATCCACTCACTTACCCACTCACTCACCCACTCAGCCACTCTCCCACTCACCCACTCACCTACGCACTCACTCACCCACTCACTCACTCCCCACTCACCTACTCTCCTACTCAGCCATTCTCCCATTCACCTACTCCCTCACCCACCCTCTGACTCACTCACTACCACCTTTCACCCACTCATTAACTCCCTCAAACACTCATTTACCCACTCATGCAATCACACACTTATTCACCTACTCTCCCACTCATACATTCATCCTGTCAACCACTGCCCGGCTCACTCTATCACTGTCTACTTTACACCTATAAACAACACAAATACGCTCTACAGGATTATCCACGTGTAAAAGGAAAGTCTTTAATAAAAAAAAATACCCCCAAAAAATTTAAAACTTTAAAAATGACTTTCTATCGAAGTCAGGGTACCACTCAATCAAACGTAGCAAATAAATTAACATTTCTTAGAATGCATTGCGAAAAAAAAAAATAAGTATGTGCAGATGAAATTTGCAAAAAAATAAATTTGTAAAAATAAAACATTTAAGTTCCGGCTAGATTTAATCCCACAGTCCCATAAAGTTGCTGATCTACTCTTCTGAAAAATCTTCAGCTGCTTAATGCAGTTTAAGAAATTTAAAATTATGTTCCGATGAACCACTACACATTACAACAACATGAGATACCTCTATTTATCACAAAAATCATGATAAACAACTACACATCCTAAACAACATGAGAAACCACTACACATAACTAACAACATGATAAACCACTACACATCAGTAACAACATGAGAAACCACTACACATCACAAACAACATGAGAAACCACTACACATTACTAACAACATGATAAACCACTACACATCAGTAACAACATGAGAAACCACTACACATCACTAACAACATGAGAAACCACTACACATCACTAACAACATGAGAAACCACTACACATCACTAACAACATGAGAAACCACTACACATCACTAACAACATGAGAAACCACTGCACATCACTAACAACATGAGAAACCACTGCATATCACTAACAACATGAGAAACCACTGCACATCACAAACAACATGAGAAACCACTACACATCACTAACAACATGAGAAACCACTGCACATCACTAACAACATGAGAAACCACTACACATCACAAACAACATGAGAAACGACTACACATCACTAACAACATGAGAAACCACTACACATCACTAACAACATAAGAAACCACTGCACATCACTAACAACATGAGAAACCACTGCACATCACTAACAACATGAGAAACCACTGCATATCACTAACAACATGAGAAACCACTGCACATCACAAACAACATAAGAAACGACTACACATCACTAACAACATGAGAAACCACTGCACATCACTAACAACATGAGAAACCACTACACATCACAAACAACATGAGAAACGACTACACATCACTAACAACATGAGAAACCACTACATATCACTAACAACATAAGAAACCACTGCACATCACTAACAACATGAGAAACCACTGCACATCAGTAACAACATGAGAAACCACTACACATCACTAACAACATGAGCAATCACTACACATCACAATGAACCTACCTATAAAAATATTGAAGGTTAGGATTATGGACACCCCGCTGGCTGGGTTGTTGAAGAGTATTTGCACGGCGTACAGATAAGGGAACATCGCCACGGCAAAGGATATCAGGATGAGTAAAGTGACCATCCATCGGCCCCTGGCCAAGTATAGGTCAGGATTGACACCAAACCCACACATGATTGTGGCGATGATGATGGTGAAGAGAAACAGGTCAAAAAAGTACACGCCCAGCCAGTAAGCCATTGGACTGACCCCACTTAAGGACTGGAGGTGTTTAGCTCCTAGCTGTAAGAAAAATGGGGCAACAAGAAAATATATTCTTGCCACGAACTCGAATACAAATTTAAATGGAGGTTTTTTTTTGTCCCTTTCATACCGATGTCGGTAAAAACTTATTGTTACATTCTAACCATTCAGTTTGGTTTGATCTCTTTATCTTACCAAAAGAACGATACTTAAACAACTTTGTGATGAGATATTCGGCGTTTTTTTCCCGATGTTTAAAGATCCACCAACAATGATATCTCAAACCACGTCCTTGCTGCCCCTGGGCCGAACTCCAAACAGCCGTGGATTTGTGAGCACAAACTAGCAGACTCACTTACAACAGCAATGATATCTCAAACAACGTCATTGCTGCCCCTTGGGCATAATTCCAAACAGCCGTGGATTGGTGAGCAAAAACTATTAGACACACTTACAGCAACAATGATATCTCAAGCCACGTCCTTGATTCCCCTGGCCACAACTCAAAACAGCCGTGGATGGGAGAGCACAAACTATTAGACACACTTACAGCAGCAATGATATATCAAACCAAGTCATTGCTGCCCCTTGGGCATAACTCCAAACAGCCGCGGATTGGTAAGCACAAACTATCAGATACACTTACAGCACGCTCTGCGATGAGGCCGTAGATGAAGATCACGGGAACGAGAGACATGGCAAATCCTAGACAGAATAAGGTGCCAATCTGTATGGAAAGGGCGATTTTGTCCTCCTTGAGTAGGTCGTGATAAACACCCAACGTTATGGAATAGTCGGCGCCAAGGACGCCCTGCACGAAGGCGTTGGCCAGTAGCTGAATCTTTAGAACAAAAACCCCCCAAAAAATTAATTAAATTAGGTAAATACGATTTTGAAAGCATCCCAAAATAAGACGCATTTATCCTTAACAAGGAGCCCCCAAAATGAACTACCACATGACGCATTTCTCCTTAACAAGGAGCCCCCAAAATGAACTACCACATGACGCATTTCTCCTTAACAAGGAGCCCCTAGGACGCATTTCTCCTTAACAAGGAGCCCCCAAAATGAACTACCACATGAAAAAGAAAGTTTGCATCTCTTTTTTTTAACCGATTATCTTTTTCCAGTTTGCCTTATCATTTAAATCATTTTGGATCAATGGTCAATTTGCACTTACAGAAATCCCGACAGAGTGGACAGCAGTTTTCTGGTGTAATAAAATCAGCTTGTGCTCCTCAAACACGGCGCCAACAATCATTTTGTCTTCGTACGCTTGTTTGCCGTTGGATTTTCCCCAGGCCAGTAAAAAGTCAGTTACATTATCCTGTGTCAAAACAAACAAAAACAAAAAAGACAGAAAACTCTTATGACATCAACCAGTATTAACTAGAACTACAATTTTTTTTTATGAAATGCCCGATTTTGTAAAGTATCAGCAATCCAACCCTCCACCCTTCACCGATCAATCTCCCCAAAAAAACAGAGAAAAGAAATTTAAAAAAAAGAATGTGTCATTTGAAACTCGGTGGTATAGTATAGCGCGTGTTTCAAGCTAATTTTTTTTACTTCAACGGAAAGCTAAAGCGTCCACCAATCCCCATCCCCTTCTTTTGTTTTGGTATTGACGTCACCGATTACATGTGTAGCGCCAATCCCCATTTTACCCACACCTCCTTTGCTTTGGAAAAGTTTGATTACAATAGAATACATTCTAAATGCTCCGGAGACTGCTTGCAGGTAGCGCATTTTATGCAATTTATTTTTTCTTGAGAGTTCTAGCTTACTACATATACACACACGCATATGTATATGTATATATATATATATATAAATATTTATTTATATATATATATATATATATATATATATATATATATATAGACATCTTTTCTAACAGTAGAGAACTTTTTATATATTTTTCCCGGACATTTATGAGATTTAACATACTTACGCGATTGTTCTATTTATGTATTTTTAATATATATACACACGCATATATATATATATATATATATATATATAAATATTTATTTATATATATATATATATATATATATATATATATATATGCAGACATCTTTCCTAACAGTAGAGAACTTTTTAAATATTTTTCCCGGACATTTATGAGACTTAACATACTTACGCGATTGTTCTATTTATGTATGTTTCAATTAGATATTAGTATCTTTCGAGGATTGTAGTTTTCCACTTGCTGTGCGTGTTTCAAGTTAACATGATTTTTATTTCCCACTCTGCGATCTTCCATTTTTCATATAAATGTAATAGTATAATTAAATTGAATAGTTTTAGTATCTCTAACTGTGGCGTCGTTTTTTCTTGTATACTGGTTTTCAACTCTGTGTTATGCATTGTTGATCTGACGGGCCGAGTCTTAAAACAGATTGAATTGACTAAACCAGTCAACGGCACGTCATACTCGGGTACCAAAACAAACGATAGGACAAAAAGAAATGGCAAAATCCAACCTAGAAAAATGTTTATTGCAAACACATAACATTGGAAAACACCTCTAAACTTTGTTAATATTTGAATATAATCTTTAACATCGAGTCTTTCTAGAAAATCACATTTACAAAGGCGAGGAAGAAGACGAGCAAAAATCCCAGTGGTGCAAGAATTCGAAAGAGGGTGTGGGAATGGTGATACCGTAAGAACATGACGAGATATATCTCGAGACAGATACTGGCATGGAACCAACAGGGATCAAGAAGACTTGGCTGAATTGAAATGAACTCACCGCTGACGTTGCGCTGGACTCTACGAAAGAGACACCGGGCGAAGTCGTGAACTGTTCCTTGTACATCTTGACTATGTTGGCGTCACTAGAGGGGTGGCTGAAGACTGGAACGACCAGATCTTTAAATCGGTCGAGCGAGAAAAACATCGGCTTTGATTCTTTGTTCGCCTGCATGTGCATGTCGAATTTGATCCCCATCATCGTGAAGCCCAATGGCAGCATCAACAGTATCAGCTGTGACACCACGCTCCGTTTGAAGAGGATGACTCTCTTGATGACGATGGCCTTCATCTGCTGGAGGAATAGAGCGAATCCCTTGTTTTTCTGATACTTGTTCATCGCCTCGAATCGTGCTGTTAGCTCGGAGAGAAAAGAGTTAAAACTTAGCAGTGTTTGTCATGTTCCATTGCTTCAGTACCTCAGGGTCGTGTTAAAACATTTAACTACTTTTAATTAGTTTTTGTTTCTCAATTTTCTTTTAACACCAAAAACAATATTTTGATTAAAATCATCCCGGCAAGAGAAGTTGGTGGACATTCAACAAGCCAAAAGACCCACCTTGAAGATTTAGTGATGAATAGCAACCAAATATTTTGAGTGATCTCCATCAAATTGTAACTTATTAATGTCCTTAGATCAACCGTATTTTGCGATCAGATCATCCGTGGCGGTGTTCTTCTTGACAACATTTTAAACATAGTGAAATTAGAGATGAGAGTCAAACCCTCTTTTAGTCGTTCAGGTTCGGTCGCCAGCAGGGTTCGGTTACAGAGACACAGTAAATATATAACATGACCTCTTTTAGTGTCGCATCAAATAATTATGTAACAATTGCCTCTTTTATCGACACATTAAACATGTAACAATTCCTCTTGCGGAGACGAATTTAATTGATACCAGTATCTCTCATGGAGGCAAATTTCTGCCTCTGAATATATTAAACTATAACCAAACAAAAAATATTTTAAAAAATGGCGATTTAAACCAATCAATCTACTAAATAATACTTCATTTCGCACGCACCCATCTCTTGAGCTCTGCGTCCTGAATCCACTGATAATTTCTTTTTATTCTCCACATTGTAATCTTCATGCACTTCTGTATGAGCTGGCGACGGAAGCTGTTCACTGGAAAATTTTATGGTGAAATAAAATGATATCAATTGACAAGACTAGACCTTCATACGGTTATTGCTCAAATTCGAAAGAAACTCAAGGAACTATCTAAAAACTTAAGCTTCGCATATATACGTGTCTACAGAAATGAGTTGTCTTTATGTGAACATCTTTTCTCCCCCAAAGCAAGAACACTAAAATCATCAGGATTATTCCCTCAACTTGCCTCATGACCGAAGGGGCTCCTCCAATAAGACTCGGCGTCAGCACTACTGGGCTCCTTGAACGTTAGGGACAGAATACCGAATACATACATTAACATTTCAAACACACAAAATGAATCAAATTAGAGACTCCATCGGTGCCCCGCGGGAAGGCTTTGTCATTTCTCAGAACGAAAAACGTCATAGCGTACTATGTTTAGAACGTCGGCGGACAAACATTGCTTAAAACATGGCAGCTTATAGTGTGTTTCAGCACATCGTTCGAAAGATCCTTGTATCTAGAGTTACTGTTTCATGTGCCGTACGAGCAATGAAGTCCCATTTCAGAAAATAGAAATTTAAAAAAATGTGTAAAATATTTCGTAAAATAGAGTTGTAAACAAGTTTCAGGGACACTTCGCTAACATAGTAATACTGAACAGTGTTGACATTATGTCCGGCACGAGTACCCGGATTATTACAGCAGTTCTAATAATAGATTTCTGCCATTAAACGACAAGCCCTGTAGCTAAGGCGTGAGTGGATATGTAGAGGACGCAGGGAAAACATGTAAGTGGACATGACTCCTAGCACACCTAACACACTCAACCCCCTTCCCCCCCCCCAATGAACTTAATCTGAGTACCAGAGGCGTAGCTAGGGTGCTCGGCGCCCGGGGGACAAGATTCATTTTAAAGAGACTCCCTTTCTATTTTTCTTCAAATCTCAAACCGATGATTTTCATCAATAAAATATTTAAAAATCACATTTTGGCGGCCGTAACTAGCTGGCGCCCGGGTACATCTGTCCCCCACTGCCCCCTTTAGCTACGCCTCTGCCAAGTACACAATACCCAAATCTGCCCCATCTGCAATGTACTATGACGTAAGGCATGATAAGGAGAGCCAAAAAATGTGAAAGCGATCACAAGAAGGAATTTTCTCAAAGACCCGTCTAATTGACGAACAAGAAATATCCCGTTATGGATTACATCGCAGTGGTCGTAAGATAGTATCTTACTTTAATAATTTAATACTTACTCTTTTTGAGTCGCAGCAACGACTGGCTTAGTCTCACGACCTTCACCGACGCTGGAAAAAAAATGATCTTGCACAACGATTTGAAGATTTGTGTCCAGAAAAGCTCGAAATGAGCTAGAAACATGACAGTAATGTAGTTTCGATGGTATGACAGGAATTTAGTTTATATGGTATGACAGTGATGTAATTTATATGGTATGACAGTCATGTAGTTGATGTTGTATGACATTAATGTAGCTTATATGATATGACAGTAATATAGTGTATAAGGTATGACAGTAAAATAGTTTATATACACATCTTAAACAAAGACTGGCACACCTTAAACAAAGACTGGCACACCTTAAACAAAGACTGGCACACCTCAAACAAAGACTGGCACACCTTAAACAAAGACTGGCACACCTTAAACAAAGACTCTAAATTGTCCCACCCGTGAAAAGACAATTCGGGTTTGCACAAAAAAAAACTTATTGCAGCGTAGAACAAAGTGACACAGTAATGGTCCGAGCATCACCTTATGAAGACATCCTCCATGGATGTCGCCGTTATACCAAAACTTGAAATGTGAAGAGTTTCCATGTTCTCCTCCAACTCAGCGAACAGTTTGGGCAGAAGGTGCATCTGCTCGTCGGGGAGAAGGTAGTAGATTTCGTTGGACGTCTCACCCTGTTCCGTAAATAGCATAGTGAGACCCATCACAGTTTAAATACCATTGTGAGACCCATCACAGTTTAAATAACATTGTGAGACCCATCACAGTTTAAATAAGAATAGTGAGACCCATCACAGTTTAAATAACATTGTGAGACCAATCACAGTTTAAATAACATTGTGAGACCCATCACAGTTTAAATAACATTGTGAGACCCATCAATGTTTAAATAACATTGTGAGACCCATCACAGTTTAAATAAGAATAGTGAGACCCATCACAGTTTAAATAAGAATAGTGAGACCCATCACAATTTAAATAAGAAAAGTGAGGCCCATCACAGTTTAAATAAGAATAGTGAGACCCATCACAGTTTAAATAAGAATAGTGAGACCCATCACAGTTTAAATAACATTGTGAGACCAATCAATGTTTAAAAAAGAAAAGAAAGACCCATCACAGTTTAAATAACATTGTGAGACCAATCACAGTTTAAATAACATTGTGAGACCCATCACAGTTTAAATAACATTGTGAGACCAATCACAGTTTAAATAACATTGTGAGACCCATCACAGTTTAAATAACATTGTGAGACCCATCAATGTTTAAATAACAGTGTGAGACCCATCACAGTTTAAATAAGAATAGTGAGACCCATCACAGTTTAAATAACATTGTGAGACCCATCACAGTTTAAATAAGAATAGTTAGACCCATCACAGTTTAAATAACATTGTGAGGCCCATCACAGTTTAAATAACATTGTGAGACCCATCACAATTTAAATAAGAATAGTGAGACCCATCACAATGTAAATAAGAAAAGTGAGACCCATCACAGTTTAAATAACATTGTGAGACCCATCACAGTTTAAATAACATTGTGAGACCCATCAATGTTTAAATAACATTGTGAGACCCATCACAGTTTAAATAACATTGTGAGACCCATCACAGTTTAAATAAGAATAGTGAGACCCATCACAGTTTAAATAACATTGTGAGACCCATCACAGTTTAAATAAGAATAGTGAGACCCATCACAGTTTAAATAACATTGTGAGGCCCATCACAGTTTAAATAACATTGTGAGACCCATCACAGTTTAAATAACATTGTGAGGCCCATCACAGTTTAAATAACATTGTGAGACCCATCACAATTTAAATAAGAATAGTGAGACCCATCAATGTTTAAATAACATTGTGAGACCCATCACAGTTTAAATAACAGAGCGGACGTCAAACAGAGCGGACGTCGAACGGAGTGGACGTCGAACGGAGCGGACGTCGAACGGAGCGGACGTCGAACGGAGCGGACGGCGAACGGAGCGGACGTCGAACGGAGCGGACGTCGAACGGAGCGGACGTCGAACGGAGCAGACGTCGAGCACTTTATGCCATAAAACGTGAATAGAACGGAGGAGGTATCAGGCTCAAATTTTGCCGGGAGCATGAACGGATAAATAGCCGGGTAGAGTGGAGCCTTTTCAAGGCAAAGGTTCTTGGGGACGAAGTAAAGCCCATGTAAAGCCGCCAGATTGGGGTGACAGCGGCCGACTTGGGGTTTTGAATCAACATCCACTTGTGTACCGGGAACAAATGCGGAAAATAAATTTGTTTTTAAATTTTTTTATTTTATTTTTTTTTTTAAACCCATATTGTTTCATCAGAATATTCGATGTTAAGATCATCTCTCACCTTGCGCTTTGCCTCGGGTATGAATTTGCGAATGAGTGAAGTCAAGCTTTGGGAGTTGCACTTCTCTGATATTACGACGTTCATTTGGTAACCGGTGCCTTGTAGGGGGAAAAAACAAACATACGTAATCATGAGTTTCACTGCAATATATCTACATCGGCTATAGGTAAAACAAAAAAAGATTAAGAATAGTTTTACTACTGTATTATCTACTTCGACTCAAGATAAAACTATGTGGCCATCAGTTTCACTACAGAATATCTGCATGGTTACAGAATAAACTTTGGGACCATCAGATTCACTACAGTATATCTTCGTCGGCAACAGATCAGACTATATTTCCGATATGACAAAAAGGTTCAGTAAATTAGCGTGATAAAGTTGTGAATTTGTCAAGAAAGTTTAGATTGTTCTAACGTTGCGAGAAATATCAAAATAAGATATCATTTTAAGCTGCCTTATATTGTAGTTTGTGGTCTCTGAATATTGGTGCTTTACGCATATATTCAACCCAGGCATTGATTCAACTCAGGCATTCAATCGACGCCTGAAAATTCTCGAGCAGCCTAAAAGTATGTTTCGGGAAAAAAATAATTAATTTAAATTCTAAATTCGTACAATGAATGAACCATGTTCAATAACTTAAGATCACATCTAAATAGTCACAACAGTGAAATGATCCTACTATCAAGAGACATACTACCAAAGAATATAATAAATTATACAACGGCAACAAACGAAAGGGCTAGCGCGGCGTCAGTGGGCTGAGAAAAGCACCCCATGGGCAACCTGACTGCGGTGACATCGGGTGGAAGTATGAAACTGTGTCCGAACACGCTTGAGAATTTTCAATAAAAGAACGAGTCATATACAAGAGCATGGCGGCAGTAGAGAAGGGAATCACTAGAAAAGTATATCTCAAGAGAAGGGTGTCACTAGAGAAGTATATCTCAAGAGAAGGGTGTCACTAGAGAAGTATATCTCAAAAGAAGGGTGTCACTAGAGAAGTATATCTCAAGAGAAAGGTGTCACTAGAGAAGTATATCTCAAGAGAAGGGTGTCAATAGAGAAGTATATCTCAAGAGAAAGGTGTCACTAGAGAAGTATATCTCAAGAGAAGGGTGTCACTAGAGAAGTATATCTCAAGAGAAGGGTGTCGCTAGAGAAGTATATCTCAAGAGAAGGGTGTCGCTAGAGAAGTATATCTCAAGAGAAGGGTGTCGCTAGAGAAGTATATCTCAAGAGAAGGGTGTCACTAGAGAAGTATATCTCAAGAGAAGGGTGTCACTAGAGAAGTATATCTCAAGAGAAGGGTGTCACTAGAGAAGTATATCTCAAGAGAAGGGTGTCACTAGAGAAGTATATCTCAAGAGAAGGGTGTCACTAGAGAAGTATATCTCAAGAGAAGGGTGTCACTAGAGAAGTATATCTCAAGAGAAGGGTGTCACTAGAGAAGTATATCTCAAGAGAAGGGTGTCGCTAGAGAAGTATATCTCAAGAGAAGGGTGTCGCTAGAAAAGTATATCTCAAGAGAAGGGTGTCACTAGAGAAGTATATCTCAAGAGAAGGGTGTCACTAGAGAAGAATATCTCAAGAGAAGGGTGTCGCTAGAGAAGTATATCTCAAGAGAAGGGTGTCGCTAGAGAAGTATATCTCAAGAGAAGGGTGTCACTAGAGAAGTATATCTCAAGAGAAGGGTGTCACTAGAGAAGTATATCTCAAGAGAAGGGTATCACCGTAGAATGGTATCGCCGGAGTAGGGTATCACTAGGGCAGGCAGATTTAGAGAAATCGTGGTGTGCTGGGGAGAATATGGTAAAACGAGTTTAGCAAAATGGTTGATATCAGCCTAGTGACGCGACTACCCAAGTAGATATATATATATACTATAAATAACTATATATAAATATTAAAATATATTTACTGCTACTTCTTAATCGGGTGCAGTTGTTTTTTGTTTTTTTTTACACTGGGTCCGGGTATTTTTAAAAAAATAGGCCTACACTCTTACACCTGCCAGCCTTTAAATAATATGCCTATGTACAGTGCTACACTCTACCTGCCGACCTTTAAACAACATTCCTACACATAACCCCTTTTGACAGTCCTACAAATAGTCCTACAGAAAGTCCTAGAAACAGACCTACAACATGCCCGTGACCCTTTATTGATCAACGTAACAGTCGCCTCCGAAAAAAAATTCAACATTTTTAACTTATTTCATCCGTCACACACGACGCCCGCTGCTTGACAAGACGCTTTTTTCCTCACTCAGTACTATTAATATAAAACATGTTGAGTAGGGTTGTGAAAAGAAGAAGCCACACCAGAAGCAAAATATATACAAAAGCTTCCATATTAGTTATGGCGTGTACCAATGAACCGCCCGTAGAGTAAAATGATGCACAGAAGACGCGCAGATAATTAATCATCAGTTTAAGACACAACAAAAAAAAGAAAACATAATGTGTACCGTAAATTTGTTTGAGAAACATCGGCGTGCCTGCACATTTGACCACACCCTCGGCCATGATCATGATTCTGTCCCCCATGACGTCGGCCTCGTCCATGTAGTGGGTCGTTAGGAGAATGGTGCGCTCGCGGCGCATGCCTTTCAGGAAGTCCCAGAGTTCACGCCGGGCACTGGGGTCAAGGCCAGATGACGGCTCGTCAAGGAACACAGTCTTAAAACAAAGAAAAGCGTATCTTTTAAAGTACTTCATATCATCTTCGTTTTTGTTCGTCGCCGGCTTCCAAAATTTTCCGACAGCCAATTGACACACTTCCCGTCAACCTATCAAGCTGAAACTTGGCACATAGACTAATTGCCAATGAAAACTCAATTTAACCATTTTTTCTCCCCCCCCCCTCTCTCTCGCCCTCTCTCTCTTTCTCTCTCTCTCTCCATTACTCCCTCTATCTACACCTGTCTCTCTCCTTGCCTATTCTCCCTCTCTCTCCCTACCTCCATCTCTCTTCCTTTCTCTTACCTCTGTCAATTCCCTTCTCTCTCTCTCTGCCCCTCTCTCTCTCTCTATCCCTCTCACCCGTCTATCTTTAGTCATCTCTCCCTTTCTCCCCCCATCTATCTCGTCTCAAAGATCATTTCAATTTTATAGATCAGCTTAGAGAGGTTTTAACTCTACGCCCATGTAAGAAACAAACCAATTCAATTTCGTTCATCTTGCTAGATCCGCTTACCTTAATACGCCCAATAAACCCTAGACGTGCTTACCTTAATACGCCCAATAAACGCTAGATGTGTTCACCTTAATACGCCAAATAAACGCTAGATGTGTTCACCTTAATACGCCCAATAAACGCTTGGTGTGTTTACCTTAATACGCCCAATAAACGCTAAATGTGTTCACCTTAATACGCCCAATAAACGCTAGATGTGTTTACCTTAATACGCCCAATAAACGCTAGACGTGTTCACCTCAATACGCCCAATAAACGCTAGACGTGTTCACCTCAATACGCCCAATAAACGCTAGACGTGTTCACCTCAATACGCCCAATAAACGCTAGACGTGTTCACCTCAATACGCCCAATAAACGCTTGATGTGTTTACCTTACTAACTCCAATAAACGCTAGATGTGTTTCCCTTAATACGCCCAATAAACGCTAGACGTGTTCACCTCAATACGCCCAATAAACGCTTGACGTGTTTACCTTACTACCCCCAATAAACGAGCAGGCAACGGAAAGCTTTCTCTTCTGACCGCCAGATAAACTCTGTGAGTATGTTTTCATCTTCTCTCTCAGCCCAACTTTGGTCAGCATCTCTTCTATCTCTCCCTTGGGGGTGGATTTATACTGACCTCTCAGCTGGTTTATTAAAGAGGATTATATTGAATACATTGTAAAAAAAAAATTCAGTTAATACACATATATTTGATATCCAAAATGAACTTGCAACGCATGTATTATAATTTAGATAATACGCAGAATATGAAATGAATTTGATAAATTTAAATAAAAATCAAGGCCTTTCTTGTAAGTAAGACTTCTGGATACAAAAAAAAAACCCAACCATTTCGTAACAGCCTTACGACTGATTAATGTCTGGTAAAAGATAATTACCTCTCCTGTTTGATACACGATAACTAATGGTTACTGCTTTAGTACACGCTGACTACTGGATGCTATTTGGTACATGCATACTTCTTACTACAGTTTGTTACAAAATGACTATTTCATAAAGTTTAAAGACAATTAACGTCTGCTGTTCAGTGACGAGCTTATTCACAAACTTTTAAATCTACCAAGATCTGTTGCAAACCACAATTAGACTATTCGGTGTCTTTAAAACGTCTTTTACAAACCTTAAAACTATATCATCAGCCATATAAATATTCATACTTATACTCAACATTATTATAAGTATTTACAGATTTTCTTTATTATTTAGATTGTTTTTAAATAATTTTTTTGGTGTGTGTGTGTGGGGGGGGGGGGATTGATCGTTGACCAATCGTGTGAATGAACATTGACCAACATTTCACATGTTCAACAAACACAGAATGACTGTTTAAAAGAGTCCTCGAAGTTGTTTACAAGTAGTGTGATGGTTTTTTGCCATGAAATGTGCAACGCTAACGACACAATAATTTACCCGCAAGTAAAAGACCAGGTGCTCGTTGCAGTTAAGCTTGCCAAACAAAATGTCATGCTGCGGACACAGTCCAAGACAGGCTCTGGCCTGGGCCAAATTTTTGGTGATGTCATAACCATTCACAATGGCAGTACCACTGGTGGGCTTGAGAAACCCTATATTTTCAAACAGAGGATGATTTGAAAATGCAGATAAGTTAGCTAGAGGTTGTATTGTGTAGCTGTTTACACCAGCTAATAAAACTGTACTCATTTGTTGATGAAATGTTGTTGATTTGTCTTTCTTTTAATTGTTGCAATTGCTGTTATATTTATTTAAAGATGAGTTCATTTGATTTGAGTTTTTATTTTTTTTTTCCTTTTTTTTTTTTTTTTGCGCGCGTTTTGATAAAAACATTGCTCCAAAATTTATATTTTTTTTTGTTTTTTTTTTTTTTTTTTTTTTTTTTTTTTTTTGCTTTTTTTTTTTTTTTTTTTTTATTTTTTTTTTTTTTTTTTTTTTTTTTTTTTTTTTTTTTTTTTTTTTTTTTTTTTTTTTGTGCGCGCGATCTGATAAAAACATGACTCCAAAATTCATCAAAATTATTCACGAGTTTGAGCGCAGTCTGCATCTTGTGAATAGTTCTCAAACATTGTCTGACTCATAGATTATGATACTGAGCTTGCACTACAGGCCGGAGCTAAGTGCAGCTGTATACTACAGGCAGGAGCTAAGTGAAGCAGTAGTACAGGCCGGAACTAAATGCGGCAGTATCTAAAGGGAGGAGCTAATTGCGGCAGTAGTACAGGCCAGAGCTAAGTGCAGCAGTACTACAGGCAAAATCTAAGTGCAGTAGTACTACAGGCCAGAGCTAAGTTCGTAATTAGTACAGGCCAGAGCTAAGTGCAGCGGTAATACAGCCCGGAGCTAAGTTCGGAATTAGTACAGGCCAGAGCTAAGTGCAGCAGTACTACAGACCAGAGTTAAGTGGGGCAGTATACTACATGCCAGAGCTAAGTGCGGCAGTACTACATGCCGGAGCTAAGTGCAACAGTAGTAAAAACTGGAGCTAAGAGTGGCAGTATACTACAGGTGACAGTATTACAGGTACCTGTGATCATGCTGATGGTGGTCGTCTTTCCTGCTCCGTTGTGCCCCAGCAGTACCGAGATCTGGTCCTCATACAAGTCCATGCTGGTCCCCGCCACGGCGACGTGGCTTCCAAACACCTAGCCTCAAAGAAAGCACAGCTTGAGAATCAAAACGTTGAATTGCTTTTTTGTCAGACATTCACTAACATTGTGTACTTCTGTCTGATGATTTCTTTCCTTTTTCTTTTTTTATTGATTCAACTCGCAAATTCGGAAAGGTCAATAGTTTAATATGAGATAAGATAAAATAAGATAAAAGCTTCTTTCATTGATCCAAATAAATGTTTTTTCCATAAAAATGTTATATTTATTTCCAGCTCATAGATCAGTGATTCTCAATCTTCCTAATGCCACGACCCTTTAATATAGTTCAGGTTGTGGTGATTACCCCCCCCTCAAAAAAAAAATACAAACAATAAATTATGTTCGTTTCTACTTCATAAATATGTGTTTTCCGATAGTCTTAGGCGACCCCTGTGTAAGGGTCATTTGACCCCCAAAGGGGTCTCGACCCACAGGTTGAGAACCGCTGACGTAGATCAATATACTGATAAAGACAAACATTTTTTTTTAAATAGAAAAATTTAACACATGATAAATAAATTATTTCTCATGCTTAACAGTAGCGCCATGTGTAGCATTGCCAGTGCTACCAGATACTTCTAGTAACACAACACTACTTGAACAAAAAAATTGTAGGTTGAAATTTTGTACGAAGATAGCCAGACATCAATTTTTTATAAAATTTACTTTAGCTACTGTAAGTTTAATTTAGGCAGAAGATATTTAGATTTGAAAAGCCCACTTCTTGAAACTCTAAACGCACAGATTTATCCATTTAAAAAAAAATACATCTTGATTGAGAGCTAAATTACAAGATACAAAAAAAAATATGATACAAATTTGTGAACATCGCTATTTTCCCAACATTAACAAAGGATAAATTACAAGAGAGACGCTTACTCATGAATGCTATCATCTATTAGCTGATCCTCACCTTCACCAAACCTCGAACCATGACCCCGGGCTTCAAGTCCCGTGGAGGCGGCTCAAACAAGTTGTCGTCTTGCTTTGGGAGGTCGGTAATATCATCGGCCGACTCTGGAACCGGACACCAGTAGTCTTTCTGTGCATGGTTAGACTTATTTAACTTCAGTTATTCGTAGCTTATTTCCATACTTTTCTGGAGTGTACAAATGATAAACCAAAGAAACACCAGAATGTGTGTTCATGAATCCAAGTGTTTAAAAAAAGAAAAATAAAAGTTAAAGATAGAAAAATCTTAAAACTTGGCGGTGCGAAATTAGAATTAAAACCAAGAGCATGCATGTTGGAGCCTGAATAGCAACAAAAAAACAAAACAGGGCAATAAACGAACGGTGGTACCACCCAACGCCTTCTTCCGGTAAAGCTACAATACAAAACAAAGATTTAATGAGACGAGAAACGCTGCTCTCAAGTAATTTGACTGGATGTTTTATGGAGCTCATAGCTGCATAGACGCTTGGCATTCTCATAGCTACATAGATAGTTTGTCTACCCGGAGCTGCATAAACACTTTTATACCCATTGCGCAAGAAAACATTGGTTTAAAAATAGCTACATAAACGTTTGGTTTACCCATGGCTACATTAACCTTTGGTATACACATAGCACAATTAAATGATCACATAATTTGTAGAGATTATCTGACTTTAAAAGAATAGCATCGGGTTAGCTGTGTTCGCCTCAATAAGTGCATTAAAGATATGTGTCTTCTATTGCTCGACTATAACACACGCTGCTGGTGGCCCGACTATAGACATCCAAACACACGCTGCTGGTGGCCCGACTATAGACATCCAAACACACGCTGCTGGTGGCCCGACTATAGACATCC